GCTTATCCTAGTTCATAAGAAAGCTATGCATGTCATTCAACTCCATCTTACACTCATCTTGCATGCTTCTTTTGGGTAAAATAAATACACCTCGATGAGTCATTTTCCTTAGTGGTAATAATGCTATGATAAAACATATTTATTGTGTCTTCAAAACGTTCCGTTAATTTCTTTATTTTCTTTTATATGAAATGTGTAGCTTTTCATGAATGAAAAATCCTTTGGAACAAGACCAAAACCGAGTAATAGTAGTCTACCTAAATGACGATGAAATGGTATTGATACTAAGTTTCCGGCAAATAAAATATAAACACAGTATCGCAGGTTATTCGTTGCCAAAGTAATTTATTTCAATAAGTATTAATTTTCCAAAAGCAAATTATTGTATCAAACTTCGTAGACAGGTTTTCAACTAAGTTTAGTAATTAGATTGCTTGACAGTTGTATGTATCAGAGTCATTATAAAGGAGTTGAGAACGGAAGCAGGAGATTGAGATCTTGTTTGTCTGATTAGCAGCAAAGTTAAATTGCTCAATTCCTAAGGGGGTTTGCATGTGAGATGGTACAGAAATGTTATTTCTACAACGCAATTACTTCTTTCGACATAGGCTAGTTTTTGTAAAGCGATGTTGTTTAAAGGATTGTTGCATGCATTTGTCATCACTGCTCATGGAAGTATTGTACTAGAAGTCAGTGGTTTTGATCGTGTGTTTGGAGAAAATCTAATTGATATATTACTAGCTGTTACCCACGGGCTTCACCTCGTTTGACTCCATTAGTATTAACACAACTATTAATTGGTTAAGTTAAGCAGAAATAAACAAAACAGAATACAGTAATAGATTATTTTAGTGGTGGAACCACACTGATCGGTAAAAGAACCACAGAGAAATCGATGAACATACATAGAAAAAAAAACATCGCCACAAACAAATTGAGAACCTCCTCCTTTTGTTGGTAGTGGGGAAGTCGGTTAGCAAAACAAATAACCACGCCTGATTTTAATAAGATGATAAATTGAAAGAATAACAAACAAATAAGTACACCTGAGGTATTTTTAACATTAGGTATATGGAAATTTTCCTTTTGAAAGGAATTACTACCTTAAAGGGCAATTTATGAAATAATGGATAGTTTTGAGCAAGGTTTCTCGTCATGACAAACATTTTTAGTATATGGTTTATGGTAGTGTGAATGTTAGTTTTCTCAAAATTTCATGGGTACTTTGGGGCTTATACATGGGTAAACTTTCTGGATTTTTTTCTTAGTTACCGGTACCTCTAATTTGACTTTCCTAAACAACTTTTCGTCTTTGGTATTGGGTTCCTCCAATGCCCAGTTTGTGTACCTACTCATCTTGATAGGTACAGTTTAAGTTTCTTCCCATTAAAAGGTGGGATAAAATTCGAAACCCCGACACTTTTCAAATCTGTTTCAGTAATTAGAAATAGAACATGTCCAATAATAACCACTTGTAAAAGGAATGAAAAAACTTAAATTTCACATCAACAACAATGATCTTCAAAATAATTCATTTGTTCGATGAGTTGGCTCAAACTGTTACTTTCCTCATAAAGATTTTAAGATGGTTCCTTTTATTCGTGATCGTATTTATACCTTACTGATCTTTTTCAATTCTCTATATATATCTATCCTATTAAGTGACAAATGACTATTATTTTTATTTGTCTTTGTAGATGTCTTCTGTCAAACTTAAAGTATTTTGTACTATTTATGTATAAGCAATTTGTTATTCAACCCCAAATATACAAATAAGTATTGGTACTTTTTATTCACTGAGTAATGAATAAATTAAGTAAAATATTTGAACTTCTGTATCCAGGAGGCATACAGCTATAAAATCTGAAATAATAAGTTATTTCAAACCATATTAAACTCCATAACGTTGTTGTATAAAACAACCTGTTCATAGCAACTTATGTTGTACTATTCCTTTTGTGAATTGAATTAAGCTCTGTAGCATAGAATAAAAGAATACGATTTAAATATTCTAACTATGCAATGTTGAGATACCCGTAAAATAAAATCACTATCAATAAAATATTTAATTTTACCAGCAGTTATTTTGGATAACATAAGTTCATTCTAAACGAAGAAATTTTCCTCAACTATATTCATGGGCCTGAGTAACATTTTCTTCGTAAGTTTTACATTTTTATTTTGGAACAGGCTCAGTTTCTTGCTTACATTTCCACAGTCAAAAAAAAGCATTAAAAAAATTGTAAAAACAATATTATAAAGTAAAATACACATTTTAATTTTATTTTCAAAATCACAATTATTCAATCACTTTTAATTAGGTACACACGTTGGCATGTTCCCAAATTTATTATTTTAAAGATGTCCATTAAAGTCAAACGTGCATAAGTCAGGATAATGCCCGGGTCGTGTTAAATTACACTATTCCAAAATCGCCCCGGATTTCATTCGTCCGAGATATGATTCTATCTAGCTACAGTATCCTTTCATCCCTTGCCCGGCTTGTGATTTATTGTATTCCGAAAATATTTGACGTTTCTTGATTGAACCTGAAATCGATATTGACTCTTTGAGTTCTGGAAATATTTCTATACGTCAGATGTGTTTATATAGGTCTAAGTGAACATCGGAGAAATTGATTCAGACTGTTTTGTAAATTGATTCGGACAGAGATTGTAAATATAAAACAAAAAGGGGTATACACAAGTTTCATACTACATTATACAATCTATTTTATATATTTGTTACAATCAACTGCAAACGTAATGTAATGATTTCCACACAAATAAGTACAGTTCTACATTAATTAATTGGTAATTTCGTTTCGTTGGTGTAAGTGGTTAAAACGATTTTCAACAAAAAAATACTTTTCTTTTACAGACGTAATAGTCAGATCACAATGCTAATGGACTGTTTGTAGTATTCCATGTAAGTATTACTTAACGGTCCATTTAGGAGTAAATGGATTAAATCCATAAAACAGGCAAGGTTTACAATCAAATCGCATCTCTTAGAAGATTACTGTTCTGTTACCGCTCCAATCTTCCAATCCTGCTTAATGCTTTCATAACAAAATTGAATTCTTTGTTGAGGCTTTTATTACTGAATTTCACGTTTTTATTAGTCTATAAAATTAGGAAAATATTTGGGTTTTGAGCCGAGTAATAAACAACTTTTTCACTCAAACATTTACTTTCATTAACATTAACAACTATTAACACTGTGTTTATTATTTATTTGAACTTTCTATTAAAATCCTTCCCAAAGAAAAGTTTAAACAGTTATGATTTCTAGCCTACGCAGCTCACGACAGATAAAAGAAAGCTGTGGACTATCAAAATGTACTGAGTTGTTGGGAGATTTGTATTTACTAACTCATATGGTCAAGATGTTCAGTACGTTCAGGACGTATCCCTGAACGTATCCCAGGACGTATCCCAGGACGTATCCCTGGACGTATCCCTGGACGTATCCCAGGACTATCCCTGGACGTATCCCTGGACGTATCCCAGGACGTATCCCTGATCGTATCCCAGGACGTATCCCTGAACGTATCCCAGGACGTACCCCTCATTGTACTCGATGAGAATGGATAGTGATTCAATCAATTGGTAAAAATTAATGTCAATCTTCCATCAAATAACACCAAGTGGTGGAATACAGCTCCTTTGGCTATCAAACACTGGTTTCACACGTACTTCGCATATTATTCATGTAAATAAAGAACTAAAGAACTAAAATTCTGGCTGAAGTCATATAGCTATTCAGTTCATTTACTAGATAAATACATGTCATAGGTTATATTTAACCTCTGACATTGACCAATGTAAACGTTTGTAAATTTACAGTTAACGGTGGCCCTCTACAAGTAGTAACACCACGGTTATTTTAACCCTACAACCTAGATGAAGTACCTCTACATTCGATTAGAAAACAATGAATTTAGTAACAACGGAACAAAATGTGTTTTTTATCGTTATTGAAGCTAGATTTTTAAGAATGAACAAATGCCACTTTGCCAGCGATATTTTGCTCATGGTTGGTAATTAGTGCTATATACGTTTTATATATTCTATGGCATTTATTAAATAAAGATAATGACTATGACATATCTAAATATTAAATTTCTTGATTCGCAATGGATATTAACAACTTAGTAGTTACGATTCTTTTTCTCCCGGTTATAAATAAGCGTAAAAACTTTGTTAAAAATGTTCTGCTACGTTCGGGCCTAACGTTGATAAATATTCTCAACTTTGGAGTCAAACTTGCCTCATTAATTACCATTATTGTTTCCTTTCCAGTAAATTACCCAGTGGAAGTAATAAACTAATAAAGCTGCACTAAACTTGTCTCATGAACTAATGCAATTAATTTTCATACCTTGCTTAGGAGTGGCGGAGGTTACAAATGGCAGATTAAGAGAAGTAGTTTTAAAAATTTTATTTAAAAACGTTAAATTAATAGAAGCTATTTTCGCAAGAAGATATTCTCTTACATATTTGAGAAGGTTCTAAATATTAATTTGAATTAAAATTAAGAGGGCATAACTAATTGGTAAATACTTCCTTCAAAACTCTATGCAGACAATAAGTTGGTTAGTTACTTAGGGAAATATCAGTTCCAGAAAAAATAATGATGCCGTTGTTCATGAAAAATATATAGGGCACTCACTATACAACCGTTGACATTCGTATATTTGAAGCAATGCTAACATTCTTTAAATAAAAATGAATTAGAGGATCACAAATGGATAATGGTTTGTACAACCATAGGTTTGAGAAAGGTTTACAAATAATTTTATATCGAGTGATTTTTAATTGTTGTGTCAGTACCAGAAGTTTGTCTGAACTGTTATTACTGAGTTTTACTTGCAAAAGAAGTATTTAGTAGATACCAAAGTTGATACAGAATTATGAAATACCTATTTGAACAATAATCTTAACTTTTTGTACCCAATGTTAAAATACCACACACTAACTACTCAACACAAAATTTACCATTCAAGAGGGCCAGTAATCCCATCAAAACTAAGTTGAGTAGAGACTCCATTGCTGACACATCCACCAAGTAACGACTCACGAACGACACATTTCGCCAAGTTGGTTACATTTTACCGTCACTTACGCGAGTTGATAGTTTCTATAGAATGGTGAGGAACGTCCGACGCTACCGCCTTCAACCACCGCGGCGCTCCATACTGGCGTTGCGGCGCCTCGGCGCGCCGCACCCCTCTCACTTCAACCCCCTCCCCCCCACCACCCGACACATGCTAATCAATTATCTCTCTCACTCTAAAGGTTTTATCACGTCAGCCTTTTTGCTAGGAATCTTGCTCATTTGCCGGTCCCAGATCGATGTACCCCGCCCACCTTATTTGCCCTTGCGTCTTTTCAAAGTTCCAAACGGTGAAAAGAACTCGACTTTGAGTAGTTAGGTGCTTTATCGTCAATCGTCAACGCGGTGTTCAATCAGGCGAATGAGGTTGCTCGGAGTTTTATTGATTCAAAGATGTTTGTCGTGACTTATTTTAGAGCGTTTTTAACAATTTGTTGATGAGTTGTTGAGTATTTTAATTCCCATGTCCACTGTCCAGTTTGTAAATTTGAAATAGTTTATATTCTTTTATTGAAGTAGTTTGAATATAAAACGTTGTTTGATATGTTTTTTTGTATCGGAGTGAAGTTTTTCGAAAAGATAATTTTCATGAGTTTATTTAATTAGTGTTTAACTAATTAACTAGAGTAAACCTTCATCAATTTAGAATCTGTTAGTGTGAACTACCCCTAATCTAGACAGCCTTTTGACAGCATTTTATAAACATTTCATACATTAAAACTAGGAATTTGCAAACTACGCAGCTGTACACATAAAAATTTACTCTAATATATTCTACTGCAGTGTGCAATATAAGTACTGTTTGTATATACAAAAATAAGATTAACTTATACAGTCTATTGCTTTTAAAAATGTGTTTTATTTTATACAAAGTATATCTAAACAGTCCTAGGAGCACTGTCTTTCATTTTAAGATGATATAGTTCAATGCGGACTTTTTTGAATCTGGACGATTTAAAATCCTAATTAATCTGGGTTGATGAATATTTTCTGTAATGTTCGCAACGTAGATTGATATTGGATCACAATTATGAATTACTAGTAGAGTACCCGTCCTTCGTACGGGGTTGGCTATAATTATAAAACTATTATTGCAGTTACTGCAATTATTTGCTATTATTTGCAGTTACGGTGTATACTCGTGCTCTGCGTTTGCAATGGGTGGAGGTTTGGAATGGGTTTAAGAAAATTTGGTTCCTTTCATTTACGGTATACTATAGTATAACACATCTACCATGGGTATAAGTTCTACCACTGCACCTAAACAATAGAAAATACCCCCGCCGCAGCAAACCTGCAGACTTAGCGAATTTCCATTTGCCTGATTGGATTTAAACTAAAATGTCTCCTTAAAAATATCACATTTATTCCCTATTTAAACAGAATTAGTTTAATGAGTACTTAGGTTTGCTGCAACAGGGAGGGTAAACAAGTTTTTTTATGTAAAATGTTAAAAGGTACTGTGGTTTAGTAAGAAGTTAATGTATTTTCCAAATTTGATTAAAATATTTTCATAAACAAGCAAACTACAACAGTTGACTTCTGCTCCATAAGAATAACATGGGAATTTTAAAATTACAATTTTTTTGAATTTTCTCCGTAACAATTAGGCGCATAATAACGCTTCAATATACCAAATTATTTGTTTTTTTAAGCTCTACAAAATGGTTTGAAAAGAAATTTAGAAATTTGGTGTTTTTAGAGTCAAAAATGGGAAAAACCTATTTTTACCCCATAAAACCCCCCATAAACCCCCGTTCCCATAGTCCGATCATGCTGGTTCGCGAACTCATTCAAGTTTATCCCGCCTTACACCTTCAAACCAAATTTCATCAAAATCGGACAAAAATTACTCAAGTTATCGTGCGGATGGACACATATATATATATATATATATATATATATATATATATATATATATATATAGATATATAAAAATTTGAACGAATGGTGTTTTTGGCCTCTGGGGACATCAAAATGAAAAATTAAATCGGTCCCGGGCTTAAGTCTTACCATGAGACCTACGGTAATAGCTACTTCCCTATAGGGAAATTCGCTAAAAGTAAAATTCTCATTGTGAATCATAGCTTTTTGTTGCTGCTTGGTTCAAATTAACTGTTGTCATAAATGAAAAAAAAATAAATGTGCTGTGCCCTATTGGTAAACCCGATAACTTTTTAATGCCATTGAATATCATAGAACCAACTTGTGTATTTGAAACAGCTGGTAAAATCCTTTAATTAGTTTTAAATATGAGTACTTATAGGTTAACATGGAAATCTCCAGAGCCTCTGGGGTGGAGCCCGAAAGTATCTTTGAAATAAGAGTATGCCTAAATGTTAATTGGAAATGTAAGCTATCATCATACCAAATTTCAGCTCAATCCGACCAGTAGTTAATGCGTGATTGAACTTCAAACAAACAAACATACATACAAACAAACATACAAACAACACATACAAACAAACATATACAAACAAGCAAACAAACAAATAAATAAACAAACCAAACATATAAACATATTCATTCACATTTATAATATTAGTAAGACAAGATTTTTAAAAATGTTTTGTAATACATTTAAGGAATAGTTTTTTTCTCATTTGTTTATTTTTCAGTGTTGGTTTAATTCAGCTTCGTCGATTTTTAATAATATTTTTCCGGTGTTTTTCCAAAGTTTCTTACTAGCCTGTAAGCTCGTACAAAAAAGAGTTTTATTGTATTAAGTTAATATATTAATGCCTCATGCTTCTCAACTAATCCACGCCTTGTGTTGATGACACTGTAACGAAAATAGTAATAATTAGGAAGAGGAAAACACCTAATTACAATACACCGATTTGTTTATACAACCCAATGTAACTTGACACATTTTTTTATTTATTTAAATGCTTATTAATGCATGTTAACATCATTATAAAGATTAATTAACTATGGATATTTACTCCAGATTTGTGTACTACTTCACCACTTATCACCAGTTACATAGAGAGGTGGTTGGTTCTCGCAGGAAAGTGGTAGAGTCGCATTGGCATATATACAGCGCCGCTGAGACTGCTGATGGGAGGACCGATGCTACTAGGTGTCGAAAGAGATTCACTTCTCTACCTTTCATAAAACAGAAATCGCAACCCAGTGGCGCTTCAAAAGGGCCCAGGTTGAACACTTACACCTCAGTAGCGAAATTTGTTCTCCTTTTGCACCAGTTTATGGCATAGTGTCTAATAATAATAACTAGAAGAGGTCGTCCAGTGGTTGAAAAACTCGACCAAAAATATGTAATGTACTTCTCTATTTTCATTCCTCGCTGTAGAAAACTTGTGATTGGAATTTCTTCCATTTGTTTTTATTTCCTGTTTATAATTCGTTAATAAAACCCATGATGCCCATGTAATTTTTTATTTTAAATTCATTTTTGTGCTTATTTTTGAGCCTATTTTAATTTATAAAGGGATTTTTCACATCTTCAGGAAAGTATCTTTCTAAAAGTATGCGTAGATCTTCCCTGCGGTGCATACGAGATCGAGGTGAGAAAAAAGATTTTTAAGAAACAGCATCTTTGTCTATTAATACATAGATTAGAAGAAATTCAAAATTTCTACCAACTATGTAATGACTTTGAATAGAATCCAATAAAATTCAATAAACTGGATGAAGAAGTAAAATACAATAATTTAAATGATTCGTTTACCTATTTAGGTTAAAACTCCTCACTCAGCATAAATGAATAAAAGAATGTAAATATTAAACAATGCACTTTGATTTGTTTGTTTAAAAATAATAATAATATACTGAACTCACGAGTATTTCTGAAAATATCCTATCCTGGTTTATTAAATTTGATTTACAATAGGGAAATCGTTATTTAAAAATATCCCAGTTTGCCGATTGGTCAGTTCATTTATTTAACAACACGATTGATATAACAATGTATTTTGAAGGTAAATATTTCCATACTGGGTAAAAACAGATAATACCTGACTGTTCTTTATTTATTGCTATTGTATATTGTGTTATCGGTTATGAACTATACCTGTCGTTGAAGCAACCTATCACACCACTCCATTTTATGGGTTAGGAGTCAGTTCTATTTAGAGAAAGTTCATTCCATGTTGTAGTTCTATCATGTTTCTGGTAATAAGCGGGATTGAACCCGGTTCTACTGAACGAATCGCCAAACCATTGGTGTCTCAGTGGTGTCTCTACGGCCTAAAATCCCTTTTAGCAAATTTCCTATATGAGAAATAAGCTATTTAAATATGTATACATTATTAATATTGCGACATAAATTATTTTTCACCACACTATGATGTTTTAGCTGTTTTACTTACGTTAATTGGTGGCTGAAAGCTACGTTTTCCTGGCCATGCCAGCTGTCATCGTCATTTGGGGACCGAGCAGGTTTTTACATCCCTAGGGCTGCAGAATCAGCTGCCCGCTTACTTACTTAAACACATGAATTCATATTAAATACACAATCAGCATCCATAGCATTGCAATATTGTTTTGTTGTTACCGCTGCCTAGCAACTATTTATTATTATTTTTGCTGATTCCTCGAATTATTTCTTCACATAACCTTAAAGTTGTAGTTTTGTTGACTATCAGTGTGCATTAATATTGTGGTGAATAGTGGTAATATGGTATAATGTGGTGATCTCAATCGTTGCAAGTTCTCGACATCGTCTTGAACCGAGCCGCCAAAACCTCATTTTCGGCGCGAGGTACGAAATAGCCCATACTATTTTTTCATTCCTATCAAGGCAGCATCAGTACCTAGATGCGTATTTTAAGCTATATAATAAATGCAAGATGCTGTAGAATAGAGGGAATATATCTGTGAAGCTTTGTTACTGATTAAGGCTTTGTGTTTATTTACCTACGACCTTTTATTTAAAACCCAGTGAAAAAGGACATCTGTATCCAGTTTCTAAATATCAAAAAGCTTCTGACTCTTCATATGATCGAACTGGCAACCGTTTGATTGCAAGGCATATAAGGCCTACTGTCTCAGCTACTGTAAAGTTGGTGTAAATACGTGTCTATTTAGTTATAGGGTTATAGTTA